AATACCCCTGACATCAGAGATTGATTATTCTGTCTGAATTAAGCCAGAGCTAATATTTCTGACAATTCTAATGAATCCAGTAGGCTTTTGGAACTTCAGCATAGTGTCACAAATGACACATTTACATATATTCTGCCTCGATTATGATCCACTTCATAACTTACTGTGTATTCATTCATCTTTCGCCGTGGATAACAGATGTACAGGAGAAATACATTTTGTTTTCTACAAGGGTGCTTCAAAATGTTCGTGGAAAATTAAAAGTTGAGTTACTTTGGTGCAGAACCACTTTGAACTTTATGTGTAGGTTTTTTCTTTCTTTCTTTTTTTTTCTTTTTTTTTTTTTTTTGACAGGCAGAGTGGACAGTGAGAGAGAGACAGAGAGAAAGGTCTTCCTTTGCCGTTGGTTCACCCTCCAGTGGCCGCCGCGGCCAGTGTGCGGCGGCCGACGCACCGTGCTGATCCGATGGCAGGAGCCAGGTACTTAACCTGATCTCCCATGGGGTGCAGGGCCCAAGTACTTGGGCCATCCTCCACTGCACTCCCTGGCCACAGCAGAGAGCTGGCCTGGAAGATGTTTATTTATTTATTATTTTGGACATAACATGTATTTTTCATGAACTACAGAGAAAGAGATCTTTCATCTCTAGTTCACTCCCCAAATGACTGCAACAGCTGGGGCTGGGCCAGCCAGAAACCAGGAGCCAGGAATTCCATTTGGGTCTCCCACCTGGGTGGCAGAGGCCCAAGTGCCTGGGTCATCTGCTGCTTTCTCAGGCACGTTAGTGGGCAGCTGGATCAAAAGCAGAGCAGCCAGGACTTGAACAGGCACTTGGAAATATGATTCACTTGCTACACCACAATGCCAGCCTCAGGGACTGATTTTTCTGTCCTGTTTCTGCTGAAGTTAACTTCTTCCCAATGGTTGTTCCTTGGAATAAACTTCTCACAGCTTCTGAACTACTTCTCATGAAACTTCTCACTTCTCATGAAACTTCTTAGGCTTTAGAGTAGCAGGATAAAGAGGGGACAGTGGAATGATCTTGAGTAATATTGGCATATAACATTAGGCTCTTACAAATTAACATATATTGTGTGCATCAGTCGGCTATGGGCTAGATTTACAGTGATAACAAGCAATCCCCAAAGTTCAATGGCTTATAGCTTATAACAGCAGAGGGTTCTTTCTTACTCATGTTCCTTGTCTATTTGCATATTAGTTCTGACCCTAGTCTACATCTTCTTTACTCTGGAACTGAGAGTGGTGGAACAATTGATATCTGGAACATTGCTGGTCATTTTGCCAGAGGGAAAAAAGAATACAGCAAAAGGTACTGGCTCTTAAATCTTCCTCAAAGTGTCATATGTCACCTCCACTCATATTTCATTGGTTAAATCAGTCTGGATGGCCTAGGCTGACATCAGTGGGGTTGGGAAATCTAATCCTCTCCCAAGAAAGAACACCAAACATGTGTGAGCAACAGAACAGTCTACCACATTGTGCTACACATTCAAACATTTTCTCTTGTAATCATATCAGCCTTCTATTATTGTTCCATTTTGCAGACAAATAAGCTAAAGCTCAAAGAGCAACCCGATCAAAGTCAAATAATATCTAATGCAGGGCCTGGACCCAGCTTGCCTGAACCCAATGTTGATTGTGCTACACTGCTATCAGAAAAGAAAAGGAAAGAGTAGGTGAATTTGGGAAAGATTGTAGCAGAGGGAAAGGAAAGGAAGGGAGACATTAAAAACAATCGCGGCTCACTAGGCTAATCCTCCACCTTGCGGCGCCGGCACACCGAGTTCTAGTCCTGGTCGGGGCACCGGATTCTGTCCCGGTTGCTCCTCTTCCAGGCCAGCTCTCTGCTGTGGGCCGGGAGTGCAGTGGAGGATGGCCCAAGTGCTTGGGCCCTGCACCCGCATGGGAGACCAGGAGAAGCACCTGGCTCCTGCCATCAGATCAGCGCGGTGCGCCGGCCGCAGCACGCTGGCCGCGGCGGCCATTGGAGGGTGAACCAATGGCAAAAGGAAGACCTTTCTCTCTGTCTCTCTCTCTCTCACTGTCCACTCTGCCTGTCAAAAAAAAAAAAAAAAAATTGCAAACACTTCCTGTGGAAATCAGATCCAGTGATCAGGAAGGAGTAAAGAGATGTGAATGAGGAAGACGTGAAAGATGTGAATGGTAAAGAGACATGAACGGGGAAGATCCTAGACAGCAGAAATTCTTAACCTTAGTTCTTCCCAGTCTGCCCTTACATGTCCATCCCGTGCCATAAGCTCTGGCCTCTTGCCACCCCAAGAAAGTCCAGCTCCTGCCTCTCTACATTCCAAATTCCCTAACCCTGTTACCTACTTGAAGGTCCTCAAAAGTCCCATTCTATTTTAACTGATTGCCCTATTTGTACTGTGCAAAAACCCAAAACAATAAAACTATGATATTAGGCTACAACAGAAATTGAGCATCAACAAAGATGTTTGCATCATTTATGCCTGATGTGTTATGAAAATCCCAACATTTGCCTGTTTTCTATTGTCTCTGGAAACATGTATATTAGTGATTTGCATCTGCCCTTTGAAGCAAAATCAATACACACAGCTTTCCGAAGCTATTCTGTGAGAACTGGAGGTGCATGTGGCTTGTTAACATAGCCTCAGAATTGCATTAAAAGGGAAAAGGAAAAAAAATTGGAAAATATTGTTAGTACATATGATAATGAGCTGGGGAAAGCAATAGACACTTCATTCAAGAGGAAATAACCAGTAAGCAAATATATGGAAAATATACTCACTAGTGGTAAAAGAAAAGCAAATTAAAACAATAAGGAGGGGGTCAGAACTGTGGCATAGAGGGTAAAGCAGCTGCCTCCCATATGGGCGCTGGTTCAAGACCTGGCTACTCTGCTTCTGATTAGTTCCCTGCTAATGTGCCTGGAAAGACAATGGAGGATGGCCCAAGTACTTGGATCCTGCACCCATGTGGGAGACCTGGAAGAAGCTCCTGGCTTCGGATTGTCCCAGCCCTGACTGTTGCGGGTGTCTGGGGAGTGCACCAGCAGATGGAAGATCTCTCATATTAACAAATAAATTAAAACAAACAAACAAAACCATGATCAAGTAGTGACAGAGTTGCAACTATTGGATAAATCTCTGATGGAGAAATGTCTAGCTCTGATGGACAAGGTGAGAGACTGTGGAAGGGGACTCCCAGCCCCTCAGTTATCAGGTGAAATAAAAACATTTTGACCTTTATCCTACCTCTTGGATTGGCTTCTGAACAAACAAATCTAAGAAAAGAAAAAAATTGGGGTAGGCATTATGGTACGGCGGGTTACATTGCAGTGCTTGCAATGCCAGCATCCCATATCTCAGAGCTGGTTTGAGACCTGGCTACTCTGCTTCTGATCCAGCACCCTGCTAATGTGCCTGGGAAAGCAGCAGATGATGGCGTAAGTGCTTGTGTCCCTGCCACACAAGTGGGAGACCTAGATGGAGTTATGGTTTCCTGGTTTCAGCCTGGCCTAGACCTGATTGTTGCAGTCATTTGGAAAGTGAAACAATGAATGAAAGATCTCTCTGCTTATCAAAAAAATAAATCAATCTTTTTCTTAAAAAAAGTAAAAGCTAATTAAAAATTCATTGCAACAGTATTTATTAGGAAAAAGATTATGAAACAAATGCTGCACAAAAGAATTAAAAATATGGTGCAGCTATTAAACTTTAAATTACATAAACTACACCGTGACATGGAACATGCTTCTGAGATGGTGTTAATTGAAAATGGCAGAATGCATTCATTGCAATTATCCACAATGGCTAGGAACCAGTCAAATAAAAAGCTGATCTGCTGACGTGACAAGAATGTAGGCAGAATTTTTCTCTTACTTATTTAGATTTATTGTGTAATACAGATAGAATATTTATGTAATAATTCTATTTTTAGAGTAAAGAAGAAATAGGACACTGTGACCCTTTTCTATCCTGTCTCTCATTTGAGGCTTGAGGGTTTCATTAAAATGCACAACCCCACATCATCCTCATGTTTGGAATTTTCTGATAAATATATCATGAGATGCTTACTCTGAATTTAAATAAGTCTTCTTTATGGGAGAGGTTATATGTAAATAAGTAGCTCTCCTAGTAATCCAATTAACTTGGAAGGCTGCAGAAGAAAATGTACACTAAGCACAGTGTCCACTTGTTAGGTTTATAAAAATATGAACATTATGCAGGTTGTGGAAAGTCAGAAAGTGTAGGAGAAACCAACATTTTAAAATCGTGGGATTCACACTTTGGAAAACACTCAGTATATTTTTGTTTGCAACATTTCAGGTGAGAAATCTTTACATTTAAAACAGTGAGTTTAGTTGGCAAATCTGGAAAAAAAATATGTAAGACACACACCATTTGATCTGTGCTTGCAGACTTTTGTGTACTTTGGCAGTGTTTTCATTGTACTTTTTTCAGGTGAACAGTTAGAGCCCCTGCATTCCTTGGACATAAATTCCTTATCTGAAAAAGCGGTCTTGGCTTGAAGAAAAACACTCAGCCCATTATCTAACATTGTACCTAAAACAAGGTTTAAACAATTTTCTCCTACGTATCCTCACTTTCCTAAGCACCCAGTAGTGTGCCCCTCTCACCAACAGCAAAAATAGAAAAGCCACACACAGTCGCCCAGCCTGGGTGGGTGGGTGGGTGGGGAGGATGGGGGAGTGGCGCAAGGCTGGACGACGAGGAGCCATCATCTTTTGTGGCTGTCGCGCCGAGGAAAGTTAGGTCGCCATAGCAGCCTTGAAATGAGTTATGCGCTCACGGATGGATAGGGCCGGGGGCGGGGGAGTGACGAGGGGGACCGGAAAACATTAAGTGTCCTCGGGTACTTGCGGGAGATGCTTTCCTGGCTTTTGCACACGGAGGGCGAGGCAAAGTTTGGAGGCAGATGACGCGCCGGGCGCTCCCCTCCTTCCGCGGCTCGCCCAGCCCCCGGGTAACCGGGCGGAGACTGCGCACGTCCGCGTGTGGGGCGGGGGAGGTGGCAGAAGCGGAGGAAAGAGGACGGAGGGGACGAGCTCCGGGAGGAAAATGAGGCTGTGGCGTGTGGGAGCCCGGAGCGCAAAATAGGCTGGTGCTGGAGCGAGAACAGGAAGGGGTGTGTGTGTGTGTGTGTGTGTGTGTGTGTGTGTGTGTGATGTGTGTGTTTCCCTTTTTAGATCTTTTCATTCAGGAGGCGTCTCCGTGGAGACTGAGGAGGTGCTAGGAGTCCCCTGGGGTGCTGTCAGCGCCGCTTGCTGAGTTTCTGCGGAAGAGTGAAATACGAGGTAAAGCACACGCCTCCTGGCAGCTCCCCGGGGCCAGAGGCGGCGCCCGGGAGGAGTGGGGGAGGGGAGCGGGACCCCCTTGGCCGGAGCAGGCTGAGGCTCACAAATGGGCGTCTGTCCGCACACTCTCCGCGCGGCCGCGCCAGCACCGGTGTCCGGAAGCGAGCCTGGAGAGTCGTGTGCTTCCCTCAGTTCCAGGGCACAGCTGGACCGAGCCGTGCTCTCTCACCTTCCTTGTTTCTGACAGACCCCAAAGCCCCCGCCCCACCCCCGACTCCAAGAAGGGCCATTTCAGGGACGCCACTCGGGAAACCCCGGTGCCTTTGAAGGACTGCAGACATCCTATGCGCTGACAAAACTCATCTCATCCTTCGGTCCGTTCTCCGGCAGGGACCGCCTGCCAGGGGGTTGCGACCGGGAGCCACCGGCGAGGAGGCAGCCGGCGGGGTTGAAATGCCACACTTGCATTTGCAACAGCCTAGTTTGCGAGGCTTTTTCAATGCAAATGTGAAGTACTCCATCTGCGTTCCGGCTTCTCTGCTCCTATTTATAGCGTGGCTTCTGGAGAAAGTCTGCTCCATGTTGAAAAAAGCAAAACCCTGATAAACAAACATTTGGAACACAGACACTTTAAATTGTCGTATAGCCTCTGGAAATGCCACTTAGTTACCACAACAAACATTTCTTGTGCATTCCATGCTAGGCTTGGGAACACTGGCAGCGCCTTCATAAACGGCATCACTGCTGTTTGTGCTATGGGGTGCCTCTTCCATGTGCCCCGACAGGGCCAGGCGTGCCATCGCATCAGATAGAATATGATTACCTCTTTAATTCTCTTTCCTTCTGCTTAAACCAAACAGGAGGTCTCACTTGGGAGCTAATAGATCTTTAACACCTTTCTAATACTTCTTTGTCACTATTGTTAGGGTTACCGGCAAAAGTATAGAGCTTCAGGCAGTTTTCCGGCTAGAACTGATTTCCTTTGCTTTGTTTTTATTGCATTTATTTTTATCTTTAACTTCTGTTTTTGGCCACTGATACCGATTTTTTTCCCTTATGTTGTGATTGTGTATTTTAAAAATAAATTAGAGCCAGAAATAAAAGATCTATTTAAAAAAAGATATAACGACAATGTTGTACTAACATGGTAAAAGCGTAACCAAAAATGTGGGAAGCACAGCTCACACTTCGAACATCGTGCTAAAGAAAAGTGCTCAGAGCAAGCTTTTTTTTTTTTTTAAAGATTTATTTATTCATTTGAAAGAGTTACAGAGAGGCAGAGACAGAGATCTTCCATCTGAAGTAGGTGGGTTAAAAATTGATGAGGCTAAAATTGATTAGGTTTGTGAGCTTCACCAAGCCCCTGTGTGACTCTACCTGGCCACACCTGAGTGCCCACTGGCCAATCAGGTTAATTAACCACTCCCCTTTGGAAGTGGGTTAAAAGCCTGGGACAGGGTGTGGCGCCTCTCTTTCCCCTGGCCTCTAGCCAGGAGGGGGCTGGCTGTAGCGTGGCCTTTGGGTTATTTAGGGGGTTCACTTACCATTTGGCTGCAACGACCCTGAGCTAGGCCTATCTGAAGCCAGGAACCTGGAGCTTCTTCTGGGTCTCCTACTTGGGTGCAGGGACCCAATGACTTGGATTATCTTTTGTTGCTTTCCCAGGCACATTAGCAGAGAGTTGGATTGGAACTGGAGTAGCCAGGACTCGAACCGGCACCCATATAGGATGCTGGCAATGTAGGCAGTGGCTTTACACGCCATGCCATAGCACCAGCCCCCAGAGCAAGCTTGTTAAAGCACTGTTTCATGCTTTTTGTTTTGGATTTTGCTTTTAATAATTTGCATTTATCACAGACCAATCACTTTTGTAGAATATGAAGGTACTTCAAAAAGTACATGGTAAATGGAATGTTTTAAATGTTTTACATAATGAGCGGGGTCAGCATTGTCGCCATAACAGGTTGCTGCCTGCATCCCATAGGGTGCTAGTTCGAGTCCCAGCTGCTGCACTTTCAATCCAGCTCTCTGCTGTGGCCTGGGAAAGCAGCAGAAGATGGCCCAAGTGCTTGGGCCTCTGCACCAATATGGGAGACCCAGAAGAAGCTCCTGGCTCCTGGCTTTGGCCTCAACCAGCCCAGGTCCTTGCGGCCATTTGGGGAGTGAGCTAGCAGATGGAAGATCTGTCTCTCTGACTCTCCCTCTCTTTGTAACTCTGTCTTTCAAATAAATAAATCCTAAAAAAAAAAAAAATATGCTGGCGCCGTGGCTCACTAGGCTAATCCTCCGCCTTGCAGCGCTGGCACACCGGGTTCTAATCCCGGTCGGGGCGCTGGATTCTGTCCCGGTTGCCCCTCTTCCAGGCCAGCTCTCTGCTGTGGCCAGGGAGTGCAGTGGATGCACCCCATGGGAGACCAGAATAAGTACCTGGCTCCTGCCATTGGATCAGCGTGGTGCACCGGCCGCAGCGTGCCAGCCACAGCGGCCATTGGAGGGTGAACCAACATCAAAAAGGAAGACCTTTCTCTCCATCTCTCTCTCTCACTGTCTACTCTGCCTGTCAAAAAAAAAAAAAAAAAAGATATGAGCATTTCCCATGAACTTTTTGAAGACCCCTCATATAATTTTTTTAAAAGATGGACTTGAGCCATCCTCTGCTGCTTTCCCAGGCACATTAGCAGGAAGTTGGGTCAGAGGTAGAGCATCTGGGACTCAAATTGGCGCCCATATGGGATGCCGACACTGCAGGCTGCGGCTTTACCTTCTACACCACAATGCCCACCCCTACATAATTTAAAAGTGCTTTCCTACAAATATTATCATGTTTTTGGCTTTAAGGGCTATGACAAGTTGATGTAAAGATTTCTCAATGCTGACTTTCTGTTTCTGCACTTGTCACACACCTGTAACAATCCTTTAATGTGGTCACGCAGGGAGCTAGTGAGCGAAGAGGAGTGGAGAAATTGCCAGCAGCCACACTGCCGTGGTCCCACAAGGCACAAACCCCACCCCCTTCTGTGCCGATCCCACAAGGCTACAGGCTCAGCACGCCCCTTCTCCATCACAGCCAAGATTCCAGAATGACCACTGGTATGCTGCAGCCTCATGTGGAGATGCTGCGACACCTCTGGGATTCCCAAAGAAAAGGACAGGAAGGTGTGCAGTACTAAAGTCCCACCCTGACCTCACTCTGAATATTCACTCGGGCCACTGGCCCTTTCCCTATGTGGGACAACCTCGACTTTTATGCCGCTCTTTTTCCAGGAGAGACGTGTGTGTACTCGTGTCTGAGTGTGTCCTAACTTTTAAATAAACTCTGCTTTTCTGTACACCTTTGTCTCCTTGACTCCTTTCACAAAGGAGTAAGTGCAGCCAGGCCCGCTGCTTACAGCACCGTCACAGACCAGGACTGGCTCCCCGCTCTGAGTAGCTCTGTGTTAGGCGGGAGAAGGTGAAGTCTGCCTTAACCAGGTGAAGCAGGTTAATTCCGAAGACAGTACAGAGGGGGATGTTGGCCTAATCAAAGCTGTGTGGCCTAATGAAAAGCAGGAAGCCATTAAGTGGTTTCTTTCTTTCTTTTTCTTTTTTAAGATAGATTTATTTATTTGAAAGTCAGAGTTACACAGAGAGAGAAGGAGAGGCAGAGAGAGAGAGAGAGGTCTTCCATCCGTTGGTTCATTCCCCAATTGGCCGCAACAGCTGGAGCTGCACTGATCCAAAGCCAGGAACCAGGAGCTTCTTCTGGGTCTCCCACATGGGTGCAGAGGCCCAAGGACTTGGACCATCCTCTACTGCTTTCCCAGGCCATAGCAGAGAGCTGGATCAGAAGTGGAGCAGCTGGGTCTTGAACCAGCGCCCATATGGGATGCTGGCGCTTCAGGCCAGGGCGTTAACCTCAAGTGGTTTCATTTTAAGTGACATCTAGACGTCTGTCATTTAGCAACAGATGATATCTACTACATGAGAGATACTGCATGAAAGTGGGGCTATAGGAATGATACGGGGGAAATAGGCAGAAGATTAGATAAGCTGAAAGATTTTGTTCCTAATTTCTGCGTAGATCAGTATTGCAACTCCACCCCATTACTTTTTTTTTTTTTTTTAAAGATTCATTTATTTTATCTGAAAGAATTAGGCGGGGAGAGAGAGAGAGGGAGAGAGAGACCATCTGCTGCTTCTCTGCTGGTTCTCTCCCCAAATGGCCACATGGCCAGCTGGGCCAGACTGAAGCCAGGAGCCAGGAGCTTCTTCTGGGTCTCCCACGAGAGTGGGGGGACCCAAGCACTTGGGCCATCTTCTGCTGCTTTCCCAGATGCATCAGCAGGGACCTGGATCGGAAGTGGAGCAGCTGGGTCTCCAACTGGTGCCCATAGGGGATGTGAGCGCTGCAGGCAGTGGCTTCACCCGCTATGATACAGTGCCAGCCCTCACCCCCTTACTTGTTAATCCAGTGCACCCACCTTCCCATGATGCACCTGCTTTTGCTATACCAGATGGAAGAGACACCACTATGGCCGTATGGGAGTTAAACTCCATCTGGAGTTCCAGTGAAACTCCCAGAGAGCCTCCTGCACGCTAAGCCCACCCAAGTGCCACCTCACTTGTACATTCAGTGAGGGGACCATCATCTCCCCATAAGGGGAACTGTCCCACGGTGGGGTGGCCCTTTTTTGCCTGTGGCTCCCTGACCTTGTTGGTCCTTCTTGGTCTCCTCCCATGCATGAACTCTCCTCACGTGCAGCACCCTGGCCCACTCATGACGGGTCTCTCTGCATGCGGGGTTGCCCACACTCACACGTGAAGGTATATTTATTCTCTTGCTTTTAAACTAATCCTGGTCTCACTTGTATATCACTTTTGCCTCTGCTCTGAATTCTTATCACTCTGGGGGCAGGAACCTGGAATAAAAATTAAGATATACACTCCCATATCATAGAGAAGTTGAAAATAAGGATGAGGCTGGCGCTGTGGCATAGCAGGTTAAGTTTCCTCTTGTGGCACTGGCATCCCATATGGGTGCCAGTTTGGGTCCTGGCTGCTCTACTTCCTATCCACCTCCTTGCTTATGGCCTGGGAAAGCAGTAGAAGATGGCCCAAGTGCTTAGGAGTGCTGCACCCACATGGGAGACCAGGAAGAAGCTCCTGGCTCCTGGCTCCTGGCTCTGGCTCAGCCCAGCTCTGGCTGTTTCTGCTATCTGGCGAGTGAACCAGTAATGGAAGACTTCTCTCTTTGTCCTTCTCTGTTTGTAACTCTGCCTCTCAAACAAATACATCCAAAAAAAAAAAAAAAAATGACTATAATAAGAGATGCGTAAAAACAAATCTATAAATGAATTAATGAACCTAAGTGGGGGAAAAGGCAATTCAAAAGTCAGGACTTATAATACAAAACAATCATTTGTTAGTAACAGTTAACATTCTGAACATATTAGAAATGATCCTTGCTTTGTCCCAGCCTAGTGCACTTCCTTGTTCCCTAATGCTTTGGAGAGCCATCCCTCAGGCAAGTAGAGGAGATGGGGATAGCTGTCCCCAGATCAAACAACCGGAGGCTGGTTCATTAGCAAAGGTTTCTAGGATCCCTCTGAGGGACCCATCTTGATGTGAATCTAATAAAGAATGATTAGTTTTCTGATTTTCCTGAAGACAAGTAGGAGTATAAAAATTTGTCAACCAGAATTCACAAATGCAAAGTAAGAAGTATGCATTTCGACAGTTCTTTGCTTGGATTATCTTGGACTGCCACTACAATCTGATGAACAGATCTGCTGGTTCCAGTCAAGTGGAAAATCCCCTTGGCTCTTGTACTCTTCAGAGAATCACTTTTCCCAGAGTGGACTGGATCTGGGGCTGCCCATGGCCAAGTATAAAATAGAAAAACAAACCATTTGCGATAGTACATGAGATGGAGTCTGGGGGAAGAAACAAACTATGAAAAATTTCCCAATCTTAAGGGAATCTTCTACGTGTGAAGCCAAGTATTGTTTGGATTATGAAACAAAAAGAAGGTAATATGTAAATTAACCTGCAAGGATTTTGTGATTTGGATTTTGTAGTTTTGGAACCAAAACATTTATATGAAAGGGTTATACAGTGTGAGTGAAATACAACAAAAACTACAAAGAAAGGACAAGATCAATTGTCAAATTCACTCATTCATTCCAAAAGGTATTTATTGAGTGCCTGCCACATGCTAGGTGCTGTTACAGGTCAATCAAGACAGAAGTTTATGCATCCACAATAGACCTTGGAGAATTTGCTGTTGTTATTTTGGTTTGCACTAGGATGCCAAAGGAAAATCCTTGCACTTTCTGTCTGTCTTTGTGGCAGCCCAGATTGAATTGGGGAATACATTTGTAGAAAAAAAAAAAAAAAAGAAATTTGCTCACATAGGGTTCATGTTCCAGGGGAGAAAATAGACAAAACAAGTTAATCAAATATAGAGCATATTAAATATTGATGACTGCAATAGATTTTTTGTCTTGCATTAGATTTGACATCATGTAACAACAGAGAAAAATGAAAACAGAAGATATAGTATGTAAGGTAGTGTGCGAGGGGGGGAAGTGCCAGTAGGCTGCCCTTTCGTTGGGTTCCCCTTTGATGTCCCAAACACCAAGGCCTCATGATGCTTCCCCAGTCATTTTATGGACCAATAGATCTGATTGGTTTTGTTTGTTTGTTTGTTTGTTTTTGTTTTTGTTTTTGTTTTTGTTTTTTTGACAGGCAGAGTGGACAGTGAGAGAGAGAGAGATAGAGAGAAAGGTCTTCCTTTGCCGTTGGTTCACCCGCCAATGGCTGCCACGGCCAGCACGCTGCGGCCGGCACATTGCGCTGATCCAAAGCCAGGAGCCAGGTGCTTCTCCTGGTCTCCCATGGGGTACAGGGCCCAAGCACCTGGGCCATCCTCCACTGCACTCCCTGGCAGAGAGCTGGCCTGGAAGAGGGGCAACCGGGACAGAATCCGGTGTGCCGGCGCCGCAGGTGGAGGATTAGCCTAGTGAGCCGTGGCACCAGCATGATTGTATTTTTTTTTTTTTTTTAAATACTGGCGTTTTAGGACATGGCCAAGCCTGGGTGAAGGGAGCTCAGAGCAGACCACTACATGTCACACAGCCTAGGCATGTACAGAAGATTCACGTGGAGGAGCCACAGAAGCCAGAACAGGAGACCTGAGCACACCACCAGAGCCCTTGCAGAAGGAAGAGTTCCCTTAGACACTTCCTTGCTGGCCTGAGCCCGACTTCTCCAATCAAAACTTGACTTGCTGAGCATTCCCCCACACCAGCTTTCTCCTACCTAATCCATAAGGCTCTTCCCAGCCCCCTAATTGGAAAGGCAGATTTGAGTCAGAGTCTCCTGCCTCCTTGCTCACAAGCAATAATAAAGCCTTTCTCTTTTCAAAGGACCGGCCTCATGGATAGTGATTGGGAGTGGCTGGAGATTTCTCTTGTCATAGGATAGCCTGGGAAAACCTGACTAAGAAGGTACCAATTAAGTAAAGGCATGAAAAAGTTGAGGAGTGAGCATTGGTGTTATCTGGGCTAAGAGTGTTCTGGGCAGAGGGAACAGCAGGTGCAAAGGCCCTGAGGCAGGAGCGTGCCTAGAGAGTTCCAGGGACCAAACAATGGGCCAGGGTGAGAAAAGCACAATAGGTAAGGGAGAGGGCTTTACGAATTGAGGTCAAAGAGGCAACCAGGGGGTCAGGAGATGTGAAAAGGAGTTTCTTGGTCACTGTAGTGACTTTGGATTTCTTTAGAATAAGGTGAGTAGCCACTGGAGAATTTTAAACAGCGAAATAACAATGTTTTGCCTGAGTCTTTAGAGGATCATACCAGCTGCTGGGTTGACAATGGATCTTAAAGGAACGAGAATAAAAGCAAGGAGACCAGTGCCATGAGCAAGTGAGAGATGATGGCAATTTGGACCAGAAAGGCAGCAATAGAAATGCTAAGAAGTGGCCAGATTCAGGGTAAATTTGAGAGCATGAAACAAATAAAGCATTAATGGTGTTGCCAAACCTACATGGATTCTTCTCTTTCCACCCCCAGGCCCTCAGTTGCCAGGCATTAGCACGTAGTGGACCCTCAATAACGAGTTCATGGATAAAGGAATGGGCTTTGCCTCCTCTACCAGAAGAAAAGACTTTGAGAGGATAGATTTGGGGTGTGGTGGAGAATGAGAATTAAGTTTTGGAAATGTTGAATTTAAGGGAATTATTGGCATCAATAATTATAGGCAGCTGGATTTCCAAATCAAGAGTTCAGTGGAGGATTCTAGACCACATTTATAAATCTGGGAATCATCAGTGTTGAGATGACATTGACAGCATGAGATGAGATCACCAAAGAGTTAATGCACATAAGAATGACACTGACATTTACGTGTGGAGGTTAGAAAGAACTAGAGGGGCTGGCACTGGGACATAATAGGTTGAGCCTCTGCCTGCAGTGCCGGCATCCCATATGGGTGCCGATTCGAGTCCTGGCTGCTCCACCTCTGATCCAATTTCCAACTAATGGCCTGGGAAAGCCATGGAAGATGGTCTAAGTACTTGGGCCCCTGTACCCACTTGGGAGACCTGAAAGAAGCTCCTGGCTCCTGGCTTTGGTCTGGCCCAGCTCCAGCCGTTGTGGCCACTTGGGGAGTGAACCAGCAGATGGAAGACCTCTCTCTCTCTGTCTCTCCCTCTCTCTGTTTGCAACTCTTTCTCTCAAATAAACAAATCTTTTAAAAAGAAAGCAAGAACGAATGAATGAATAAACCAGAAAAGACCAAGACAACAAAAAGAGCAATTAGAAGCAAGGTAGGAGACAAAGCAGGCACGCTTGGTATCCTGGAAGCTGAATGATCAACCCTGAAGATCTGCCAATATCAATGCTGCTCATGGGCCAAATAAGATAAAGACCAAGATCCAACCATTTCATGCAGATTTTGACAAAAGCACTAGGAGAGTTGAGGACCAAAGCCCAATTACAGTAAGCTCCACATGGGGTGGGGGGAGAAATTGGGGACAGCTACAGGTAACTCTTTCCAGGAGTTTTGTTATAAAAGGAAGGAGAGAAACAGAGGGAGTAGGAGAATCGAGACAGATTCTGTTTGTTCTGCATTCTGTAGACTGATGAGAGATGCGGGCTGTTGGAAAAGATCTAGTGGGAAAGGGTTCATGTCACAGGACAGAGGAGAATCCCTGGCGAGATGTCCCTGACCAGGGAAGAAATGGCAGCATCTACCACGCACTCAGGGGGGTTGGTCCTTCTTAGATTCGTGCCCAGGAACAGAAATGAAGGCAGAGTTTGGATGCCTTTGCTGGTGATGGGAGATATGCTGGTGGAAGCTTGGAGAAAAATTCTAATTGTTTCCATGCCCTCGGTGTAATAGGAAGCCAAGGGGAAGAAGGTTCATAGAATGAAGGGAAGGTGTGAAATAGTTGTCTGGGAGAGTGGACATGGACAGGGGAACACAGCACACTTCACAGGCTTTTAAGGAAACCCTGGTGACTTAGGATGAGGAATTTGTATAACGTTCTGCAGTTCAAAAATCGTGTTACCTCATCCTGAGGTCTACCTGCCAGAAAGACAGGACGAGGATTATTGCCCCAACTTCCAGATGAGGAAATTGCTGTTCTGAGAGAGTCTGTGACTTGCCAAGGTCACCTAACTAGTTAGTGAGGAGCAGTGTGACCCAGTTCCTCGACACGTGGTGTGGTTATTTCACTCTGTGCTGCCCAAGGGCCGGGGCTGCTGTGAGGGCAGAGATGGAAGAGTTTTCAAGGTCACAGTGGCCCAGAGAAGCTACATGGACGGGTGGGAACTAGAAGCAGCCAGATTTTCAGGTGAAGAGCAACAGGGAAGGTGAACCAAGCTGGATAGGAACCGTGAAAAAAACAAAAAGTGTAAGGCGTGACTGATGGACAGGGGATATATCCATTTGGCAAGGCACAATTCCAAAGTGGTGTCGCTGAGGCTCTACTCAGCCTCTTGATTTTTTTTTTTTTGAGCCAACATTTAAAAGTTCATAAAATTTTGCCTAAAAAAACACAGATTTGTAACATCCGTTGAATAAGCAGAACACCGGGCAACCCTGGGCCCAAATTTTTTTCAGGGCAATGGGTGCCTTTTTCCTTTAAATAGGATATATACTCTTCAGTTTGTCACAGTCCCTACTGTCGTTACTGTTATTTACATAAGTCCCATATTATCCACTTCCATGACTTTCTAAACTGAAAATGTAGATCATAACAAACATGAATTCTAGGGACTGGCGCTGTGGCATAGTGGGTAAATCTGCTGCCTACAGTGCTGGCATTCCATATGGGTGCCAGTTCGAGTCCTGGCTGCTCCATTTCCAATCCAGCTCTCTACGTTGGCCTGGGAAAGCAGTGGAAGATGGCCCAAGTCCCTGTGCCCCTGCACCTGCTTGGGAGACCTGGAAGAAGCTCCTGACTCCTGGCTTCGAATCGGCAGAGCTCCGGCCATTATGGTCAATTGGGGAGTGAACCAGAGGATGGAAGACCTCTCTCTCTCTGCCTCTCCTCTCTCTGTGTAACTCTGACTTTCATATAAATAAATAAATCTTTTTTTTTTTTTTTTTTGACAGGCAGAGTGGACAGTGAGAGAGAGACAGAGAGAAAGGTCTTCCTTTGCCGTTGGTTCACCCTCCAATGGCCGCCGCTGCAGCCGGCGCACCGCGCTGATCCGATGGCAGGAGCCAGGATCCAGGTGCTTTTCCTGGTCTCCCATGGGGTGCAGGGCCCAAGCACCTGGGCCATCCTCCACTGCACTCCCTGGCCACAGCAGAGAGCTGGCCTGGAAGAGGGGCAACCGGGACAGAATCCGGCGCCCCGACCGGGACTAGAACCCGGTGTGCCGGCGCCGCAAGGTGGAGGATTAGCCTATTGAGCCATGGCGCCGGCTCAATAAATAAATCTTTTAAAAAATGAATTCTAAGCTAGAGAATTCTGTCTTCATTCCATAGCAAAGCCATTCATAATTTTTGAGTAGGATAATCAAGGCTTAAAAAGAGCTCTTTCAAAAATGATCTGAAGTTGGGAATGAGGAGAGGAGAGGAGAAGCAGGGGCCTGCTACAGAGACGACATCACATCTCATTGGCCAGTGCTATGATGTGAATATGTCCCCACGATTCATATGTTGAAACTCATTACCAATATGATGGCACAAAGAGGTCTTTGGGGATGATTAGGGCATGAGGGCAGAGTCCTCATGAATGGGATTAGCAACTTCACAAAAGAGGTTGAGGGGAGCACCCTAGGCACTTTTGCCCTTCTGCCTACTGCCATGCAAGGACACAGCGTGTGTCCTCCAGAAGGAAGCAAAGTTCCAGGTGCTAGCTCAGAAGCAGAGGCCAGTCCCTCAACTAGACACTGAACCTGCTGGTGCCTTGGTCTTGGATTTCCCCGTCTTCAGAACTGTGACAAAATAAATTACTGTACTATATATATTACCTAGTCACAGATATTTTGTTATAGCATCACAAATGAACTCGAATACCTAGGGAAATGGGACCCGTGGCCTTTGAGCAGACCAAGGAGGTAGGAGTGAGCCATGGCTCTAGAATGGGTGGGCCTGTCCTACAGGCAGGGTCAACAGGTTAGGTTAGCTGGCTCAGAGCCTGGAGAGGTTCCTTGAAGTAGAGAGATAGAAGGGATTGGCCTACCAGTCGGAATGGAACCACCTAAGAGGTAAGGTAGTTCTGGCTGGGTAGGTAAAGGCTGCGCCAAGGTCATGGCTGTGGGCATAGAAACAATGGGAGGCAAGTAAGAACAATAGAAGGCAGCTGCAATAGGAACTTGATGACTAATGGAAAGGAAGTCTGGAGGAGGAATGAAAAAATGACTCTAAGCCTTCCTACTGGGGAGTTGTTAAGCGTATGAGATGTGAGGTGCCCTCAGGAAGTGCAGGCGGCATGGGAAGGCAAGCTTGGAGAAAAGTCTAGCCCTAATGTAAACATAAGACTGTCCTCGCAGAGGAAGGAGATTTAGGTGGAGGAGAGGCAGGTGGAGGAGAGGCAGGTGGAGGGAGGAGCGAGAGAAGAGTAAGGAATAACTCAGCAGATACTTTTTTTTGGGTAAATATTTATTTATTTATTTGAAAGTCAGAGTCACAGAGAGTGAGAGAGACATGGAGAGAGAAGCTTCCATCCAGTGGTTTACTCCCCAGATGGCAACAATGGCCAGCAGAGGGCAAGGCTGAAGCCAGGAGCCGGGAGCGTCTTCCAGATCTCCCATGTGGGTGGCAGGGGTGCACATACTTGGGTCATCTGCTGCTGCTTTTCCCAGGCCGTTAACAGGGAGCTGATCAGAAGTAGAGCAGCTGGGACTCGAACCAGTGCCCATATGGAGTGCCAGTGCCACAGGCGGTGGCTTTACCCGCTACACCACAATGC